GAGCCTGATTTAAAGAAATAAAGCAGGCTCCCATTCCAAGCCAAAACCCCCAGACTTATGGAATGAAAATACTGGGAGGAATTTTGAGGTTTAAAAAAATATATTTGTTTGTGACACCAACACCTGAGTATTATAATCCTTGCTTAGAAGAAAAATAAAGTACTGGAAGTCTCTTGCCTCATACAGGTAATTGTACAGTCAACAGAAAACACCACATCTCGGATTCTACAATGTCACTTTTTTCCTTTTCACATCACAATGTTTCTGAAATTGGGATGTATCTCACAATTATGCTCTGATGAATCTTGTTACCAACCCCACTCCCCCAACTCTACCACCACAAAACTCATATTAAACCCATGGTGTACTTCATTATGTAGTAGTCTTGTGGCTTTAGAATGAATGTGAAGCTCAGTGCAAAACCAAATCAAATGTCCTGAAGCCCTCCCAACTCTGGGTCAGGAAAGCAACAGATGGAAGGTCAAGTGCTTTGCAGAATTCCCAACGCCAGACTGCAGGAGATAAACACTCAAGCCCAGGGAAGAAATCCTTCAAGCACAGACACAGTATCAAGGAAAAGAAATCTTTATAAATTTCATTTTAATATGCCCCAGTTAATCATTCACAAATCAATCCATAAAGGGTAAAACAAAAACCAGAAATAACCTGCTTTCCTTGAAGTTTGATAAATAAAGTATTCTCAGCTAAGAGAAAAGGGTAGGAAGAAAGGAGACATGAGAAAGGATAAGAGACACAACTGCCTCTTTGTGCCACAAAGGAGAGTTGAAATAATGTGACTGTTTTCCTTATGTCTGCACAGGGATGCCACACACACGTGCACACGCACACACACTCTAACTCCACCTCCTTAGTTCCAGAAAGCCTTACCCTGCAAATGTCTACAAGGAAATTCTCAAACAATTTCCACATATGGTTGCTGGTATAAATCTCCTTCATTTCCACCTCAGTATCCACATAGCAGTGATTCAGGAAGTTAATGTATGCAATTTTAACCTGGAAGAGAAAAACAAGTTTTCCTGGAAAACCAACTTGGTATCTGTGGAACTGATTAGCTGCTTCATCTTCATAGTGAGATGGATGGACTAAGATGGTCATTCCGTTCCCCACTGCCAACTTTGATTTCTATGATTTTTTGATACTCAAAATTTACAATTATAAAATTCAAAAACAAAGCTTTTGGAAGAGAACATTTTCATGACCTCTAAGTAAAGAAAGATGCAAAAACTCTGACCACAGAAAAGGGACAAGTTTGACTATGTTAACATTTAAAATTTCTGTTCATGGAAAGGCACCATGAAAAGAGTTAAATGGCACAGGTTGGGAGAAGATGGTTGCAATGCATATACCAATAAAGAACACCTATATATCTATAGATCTGCCCATATAAGATGGGCATCCCCAAGAGAAAAAAGGCAAAAATTTGATCAAGTGTTTTCTCAAAGTAGTATCAAATGTCCGAAAAAACATATGGAAAGGGGCTCAATCCCATTTGTAACCAAGGACATTTAAAATCTCTAAGAATGATAACATATTTTCCACACAAAAACTTGTACACAAATATGCATAGAAGCATTATTCACAATATTAAAAAAATGGAAACCCAGATATCCACCAATTGATGGATGAATAAAAAAATGTGGTATATCTATATAATGGAATATTACTCAGCAATATAAAGGAATGAAGTACTGATACATGCTACGACTTGCATGAATTTTGAAAAAATTATGGTAAGTGAAAGAATCCAGTCACAAAAGACCACATATTATATAATTCCATTTATAAAAAAAGTCTAAAATAGGCAAATCCATATGTACAGAAAGAGGATTAGTAGTTGCCTAGGGTTAGGGATATTGGGAAGAAATGGGGAGACTGCTGGCAGGTATGGGTTTCTTTAGGGGTGATGAAAATATTCTATAATTAGATTGTGATGGTGATTGCTCAGCTCTGTGAATATATTAAAAACCACTGAATTGTACATATTAAATGAGTGAATTGTATGTATGTCAGTATCTCCAGATGGCTTTTAAAAACTAACAAAACAAACCACTATGAGATACCACTACATGACCTTCAAATTTAAAAAAAAAAAAAACGTAAAGGGTCTGATAATACCAAGCATTGGCAGGTGGTGAAGCAGCAAGAGCTCTGGAGGGAGAAGGGACACAATGCAAGCATTTACACTGGAAATGACTGGACATTATCAAGTCAAGTCGAAGAAACACATCCCCCATGACCCAGCCCTGCCACTCCAGCTCATGGTTACCTTCAGGAGGGAGCCTTCTGGGGAAGTTAAGGACAGGAAAAGGACACGGGGTAAGTTTTTCCTGTATTTCTTGACCCAAGTGGTGGTGACAAAGCTTTTCTCATTATAATCACTCTTGTATTATACAATTAAGATTTATATACTTTTCTGTATTTCTGTTGCATTTCAAAAAAAAAAAAGGGTAAAAAACCAAGCTAATACTTGTTATAATGCTATATACTTCCCTCACCCCTAATACTGGTTATAATATTATACCTCCCTTATCAATAATAAGAGAAACATAAACTAAAACTGTTGAAATGCTGTTTTCATCTATCAGGTATGTGAGAATCTAAAAGTTTGATAACATACTGTGGGGCAAGGCTGAGAAAAATGCAACCTCATTATTTTCATCACATTATAATTATTATTTATTACTACCTCATTATATTATAAATTGGTTCAACATTCAGAGAGGGCAATTATAGTACCTCTAAACAATGAAATTTTATTCAGCTATTAAAAAGTAATCCGAAATCTCTTTATGAATTGATATGGAAAGAAGTCATAGTATCAAGGTATGGAGTATTGTACTTAGAATGTTACCTTTTGTCTTTAAAAAAAGGGGGGGGATGGAAAGTAAAGTTTATATATACTGTATGTTTTTATATGCAAAAATCTGGAAGGATACATAAGAACATAATAAATTATTTTCTGTGGGGTGGATGGGTAGGAGCAGATTAGGAGATTTTTCATGGTCTACCCCTTTATAGCCTTTGACATTTGAAGTTTTCAAAATGTATTAACCCTTCAAAAAAATCTAAAAACATGATAAGTAGTACATATATATTTGATATGTATAACATGCTATATATACTACATTTTAGTTTAAAATATAAACTAATAGTATATATTTTAAAACATACAAGGGGAAAATATATGCTGTATGACCCATTTTTTTTTTTTACTAACCGATATATGTGAATAGGGAAAAGGAAAGCCTGGAAGGATTAACTTGAAAACTTAACAGGTACTTGTTATGGGTGGTGGAATTCTAGATTTTTTTTTTAATTACTTGCAGTTCCTCAATTTTTTTTTTCTTTTTGTCTTTTTTACTGACCGGCAACAGGATCGCAACCCTCAGTGTTGCGCCCGCACCTCGTTCAGCCAGTGAGCGGGAACCGGTCTCCACATGGGATCCGAACCCTCGGCGGGAGAGCCGCCGCACTCCCAAGTGGCGCACTCTCCAGTGCGCCACTGGGCCGGCCCATTCCTCAATTTTTTATAATGGGCATTCATTCTTTCTATAATAAGAGTTTTCTTTCTTTTTTTTTTTTTTTCCTTTGTCTTTTTTCCGTGTCCAGCAACGGATCGCAACCCTCAGTGTTGCCCCCGTACCGGACCGGGGACCGGCAACGGGATCGCAAACCTCGGTGCTGCTCCCGCGCCTCACTCAGCCAGTGAGCGGGAACCGGTCTCCACATGGGATCCGTACCCTCGGCGGGAGCGC